GTTGGAAACAAAGGAACAACTAAAGAAAAATACACTATAGACCAGTACAAACCGCTCAGCTACATGGCGGTTTGAAGATTTGGAATAGGAAAATCTCCCGCATATTCTTCGCCCTTTTCAACAGATTAATATCTAAACCTACCTGTAGGTGCACAGGCCACAGAGCCTAATGGACAAGATTTCTGAATTTCACTATTGTTTCTACCATTTGATCTTGCCTTAGTCTAGACAAGAGAAACAGCAAACTTTTGCTGCTGAGTTTTTAATAAAGAAGCCAAGATTCAGTGGGTTGATCAGAGAGTGGTGACGCTGCCTTTGTCTTTATTCAGCCAACATTCATCAAAGCACCTCCCCTGGCCAGATTGTGCGCTATGCTGCTGCTCCATGTTATGAAAAAAGAAAAGGGTGTGTTAGTGTCATAAAACTTAATCTCATACCTAGCTTCCTCTAACCAACAGAAAGAATATCCTCACCCCTTTTGTGCTTGTATATTTGGATGCGTGGTCTTGGGCACAGACTTCGGCCCTGGCTAGATGAAATTCTTCCTGTATTCATCTTGAAACTTCTTTTCCATAAATAAGCCCATCAGAGACATAGCTCCAATATTCTAGTACTAAAAGCTGATAGCTAGAGAGGGAGTAGGAATTTACGTAAAATAGTGTTACAGATTCTGGTGATTTACCATGAACATATTTATGTAAGAACTTTGCTGGGGTGCCCGGTGGTTCAGTCGGTTGAGTGCCTGCTCAGCTCGGATCGTGACTTCGTGTTTCATGAGATCAAGCCCTGCCTAGGGCTCTGCACTGACATGGCAGAACTTTCTCCCTCTCTTTCTACCCCTCCCCCACTGCACATGTACTCTCTCTCTTTATCAAAATAAATAAACTTTAAAAATAAAAACAAGAACACTGCCATATCTGCACTCTGATTGCTTGGATGCGCATCCCAGTTTTTCCACAACATGACTGTGAGGAGGTTATTCACGCTTTGGTTCTCAGTTACCTTATCTGTATAATGGGAATAGCAATAGTGACTACATCATACCATGGGGTGAGGGCTAAGAAGTATTTGAAATTGAGTTACATTTTTATGGTCCAGTCTTTCATTATGCCACTAAATGGAATTAAGAATAATTGATCATTTGCTTTGCCACCACTCTTAGCTCAGTGGAAGTTCAGCTCTTTAGCTTCTGAGATAAACCAAGCATTATACACAATGTATTGGTCCTTTATGAAATGGACTCTTAATTGTGAATTTTTCTTTGTTTTCAATTTTGATATGAAATTTAATATCTACTGACATTTTCAAAAGAGAAACAGTGTTTAAATCCTTTTGTGAATGTCCCATTTAGTTCTAGAAAATCAATAAGAAAATTAAAGACAGGGTAAACACCTGTCATTTGCTGGTGCCATTTCTGAATGAACTGGAGAAACTATTCCCTTCATTCTAACAGTGGAGACTTGTCTGTGCCCTTTAAAGCATTAGATAGTGTAAGGCAGAAAATAATGAACCAACTTAAAAAATAAAAAGTTTCCCTGACTCTGCACGAGTTGCCCTAGAAACTAACATCTTTATGGATCTTTGTGGCATCTAAAAACCAACAAGTTCCTTATTTAGACTATTCATTTCTTAATGGTCCCCTTTTTCTAGCACCGCTAGCTTTTGGGGAAAAGTGAACTTGAAGTGACATGTAATGTGAGCGGACTCTAATCATAATGCCTAAGACAGTCTCACATTATTAAAAAAGAAAAAAAGTTTGTGAATATGCATACTCTTAAGTCTGTATGCCAGAGTGATGGTTTTAAGCATGCTCACATGTATACAGAGAGAGACATCGACAGAAAATAAATATATTCTCCCCAAATATCACTTACTGATGAAATTATGAGACCTGAGATACCTACAGGCCTGGACTCATTGTCTTCATTATTTCCTATTGTACCATTGCAGATGCCTTAAAAATCTCAGCATCTATATATATAATTTCTTTAAAATAAATTCAGTCCACTTTTCTTTGTATAATTGTTACATCTTTTGCATGTGCAAATTTCTCCCCCCAGTGAGTTAAAAGCTCTTAAAGAACAGGACCTGTGCCATCTATGTCTGGTGGATCTTTCTGTGATACCTAGATACACATCTGATGTTACCCGATTGACGAGACTATAAGGATGAAGGGAAAGGCTTGTGTATCAGAAACAATTTCTGATACTGAGGAAGATGCTAAGATACTTAGAAACAACACATGAAAGGAATATAAGTAAGCCACAACTAAAATAAGATGACGAGAAAGCTTAAAGACCTTAATGGAGATGTGGGGGGTGGAGGAGGAGAGTAGAAAAATAACTGTACTTAAGGTAGAAGCCAGTGATTTTTTAAGGTTCAAATATATACATACATATGTATATATACATATGTATGTATATATTTGCCATTTTGAATATGCATCCAAAAACTATCAGTCAAAATAAACTAGTATGTGAAAATATGAAAGAAAAAAAAATTTTCACACAGCCACCTGGTTGATTGAAAATTTGAAGCAAAAATATTTGCATAACATGCTGAATTTTACAGTAGGGAAAGAAATCATTTGCTTATTTTAAGAACAAAATGAGTTTACCATACTTCTCCCTGGTTCAGAGGGTCACTTCTAAATGAGAAGATTTATGGGATTAAAAAAAAAAAAAAGGGAAATAAAGTTTCCAAACTACAAGGCTATTAGAATCATTGTTTATGAAGAAGATTTTATTTGACACACAAAAAAATTTTGCTTTGAAATCACCATGGCATTGATTTGTATTTTATTGTTAAAGGGCCAATATAATTCTTGGGGGAATTTTACTATTGAAATGAATATAACACATATGGTGGCTAAAATTACTTGCTCTCCTAAACCTACATGTTGGGGCCTATATTAAGAAACATGTCATTTTGATGAATCTTTCCTACATATGAAAAACAAATGAAGCCATTTAAAATGCATGGGCCTTTAAGTGAACACATGTGGAAAAGAAAAAACTAACAAGCATATAAATGTTAAGCAGAAGGAAGAAAATACTAAATCCTTTAAATGGAACTGGAAAAGAAGATTTTTACGAACTTGAAGAAACAGCGCATATGACTTCCAGTTTCAAAATGGTAATGTGAGGGTGTTTCTGCTCTTCTCTCAAAAATCACACTTGAGAAATAAGAATATAAAGAGAGAGAAACACCGATTTATGCATTGACAGCTAAAAGACAGGTAGAACTCCCAAGATGGAGAACACGGAAGGGAAAATGGTAAAATGACTCAAAACAGAGAAGTTAAAACCCAAGTGCCTATCAAGGGGATACCGATGGAAAGCAAATATCATTCACCCTGAAGAATTTGAGATGCTTTTGAATTGGATGTACTGTTTTCTACAGAAGGAGAAGGTGGAAGTGAGTATATCAAAAGTGTCTGCAAGGAAGAGTTAGACTCTCAACTCTGTCTCCATCCCTACCCCAACACAAACCTTGCAGAGCTGTACGCATATGTTCTGGAGAAGCTCTGTACTGGAAGTGAAGGCAGGCAACAGCATTGGGATGAGATAGAGGATTTGAAATAGAAGATTAAGTGTAAGTGGGTATACCAAATGATGATAACACCAGTTCCTAACCCTGTCTAGTTCCAGGGAAACTGAACTTCTGAGAGAAAAAAAAAAAAAAAAAAAACCTAATAAAAATTGGGCCCCCCCCCCCCCAAAAAAAAAAAAACAAAAACAAAAAAAAAAATTGACCACTTGATTAGCGTACATTTTAATTATGTAATTCTCAGGCATTATTTTCAATAATTAAGGCAACTGTGCTATGTAATCATTAACAAATCCTGAAATCTCATGACTTAACACAATAGAGGTTGATGTGTCACTCATGTGAAATCCAATATGGCTGGCAGCTCTCCTGTCTTGTGGCTATGTCATCTGAAGCTTGTGGCCTCCAAGTTCCTCATGACCAGGGCTGGGATGGGACACATAGGCTCTTAACTGACTCAGCTCATAAGTGAGACATGTCACTTGTACTCATGTTAGGTTGTTCAGAACCATTCACCTGGGAGATGTAAGGGAGCAGCACATAGAATATTGGGTGGCCAATAACTTTTCAACAACTCTTTGCAAACTTACGTTCAGGTTCTTGCAAGGCATTGCACTTTCTTCCCATGCATCAGCCATGGGACTTGTGGTTTATTTCATTGAATAATTGCAACTCATTTTAAATCTAAAAGCTAATATCTATTGACTGAGGATACAGAGATATGCTGTCCCTGTGACAAGGCTAAGAATGCAGAAATGCATATGATACAGTCTCTGGTCTCAAGGTTATTCTGCCACTTCTTAGTTTATATTGGTTTTGAAAGAATTTTCAGATCATTCCCTCTTAATGTTTATATTGGTGGGTGTAAATCAGTGACCACCTAATCAAAGACTAAGTTTTTGATTTATAATCAACAGGATTTTGTGTCCCTGTGGCAATTTTTTAATTTCAGGTGCTTCTCCAAAGTTTTATGACAACCTCCTCTTCCTTTTGAACTAAAATAATTGTTGAGAACTCTTTTCTTCTTTGTAATGGCAACATGTGAGGATCTCTAATATGCTCCATAGAGAGGTAACTGCAAATTCATCTATCCCTCAATATTATTTGGTGCTTTATTTCTGATGTTCACTGAAGCAGGTTTGTAAATTAATATTAATATGAAATACTCTATAGAAAGTTTCATAGCATGTCAGTTGAAAATAATTATCCAGGAAGAGTTTTTATGTGAGTCAGTTTTGCAAATGCATCTCATATACTTCGTGAAAGGAAATAATTCTTCTGAATTAAAAAGATACAGTTATCTTAGAAATACTATTATATCTGTTCTTATTTGACTAAATCTATAGCTTGAACTGCTTCTACCCTGGGTACAAGTGGTTTTTAGTACTTGGATTCTGAGAGTATTGATCAATTTTTTATAATGTTTGGTTTCCTTATGTTTTCTTTTTCAGAGTACCCGAGTGGCCTTGGACCATCTGGAGTCTGTGCCTGAGAAACTGAGCTTACTAGAAGATTTCAAAGACTTCAGAGTGAGAAAGAGTTGGCTTGTCTCTTTCAGTATTCTTATCTGACTGAGAACATTTGACATCTTCCTGATGTGCAAAGAAAGTTGTAGGGAGGGAGGAAAGACCAAAAAACATAGGGGATTTTTAATACTCCATCTTATCAGACTTTATTGATATTTGTTAAATCAAGATTGAAAATACTGGAACTTACATATTAGAGGAAAAATAGAGACTTTTACCCTCACACTAGAAACTCATTTGGCCTCCCAAAGCTTTAACTTTAATTTAGAAAAACCTAAGATTCAAAAGGGGTTACATATTACACTGAAGATAGCTTTTTAAATTTATTACTGTTTTAATTTACATTCAAGTTAGCATATAGTGCAACAATGATTTCAGGAGTAGATTCCTTGATGCCCCTTACCCATTTAGCCCATCCTCCCTCCCACAACCCCTCCAGTAACCCTCTGTTTGTTCTCCATGTTTAAGAGTCTCATAATGTTTTCTCCCCCTCCCTGTTTTTATATTATTTTTGCTTCCCTTCCCTTGTGTTCATCTATTCTGTGTCTTAAAGTCCTCGTATGAGAAAGAGATATTTGTCTTTCTCTGACTAATTTCACTTAGCATAATACCCTCTAGTTCCATCCACGTAGTTGTAAATGACAAGATTTCATTCTTTTTTGATTGCTGAGTAATACTGCTAGACAGCTGTTTTGATAAGCAATTTCACCTTATGAACTATCTTCTTTTTTTTTTAATTACAGATTTTCAGAGTACTGTTTGTTTTAGAGACATGAAGGTACACAGGTTATTTCCATACTATGATAGTTGAATTCAGATCCACAGTTTTAGATTTTACATCTCATGCTATTTGTTAATAGAACTCTACAAATCATTCCATATCTAGGAGATTAATTACATGTGTGGATTTACCTATTGTAACTTTTAAAGTTTTCATAGAGGAGAGATGCAAAACAACTATCCCTGCCAGCAGTCCTGCCAAACAAGGTTCAGGCCAGAGAATATCCCTTTTGGGATGAATACACAATGGACAGTTTTAGCAATTTATAATTTTCTGGCCCCATATGGCTGAAGTTAACAATGGTGAGAGTTCTCTTTGAAAACCATGAACCTCTTATTTCACACTGGCTTTAAAATATAATATGTTATATTTAGGTTTTGTTTGTATCTAACATATTATTTGAGAATCTAGTGAGTAGGAAATATAGCCTGATCATGCCATATTGATTACTGGAGGCACTGATACGATGTGGCTCTCAAGGTCTGCACTATCTTAACATCAATTCACTTAGCATATTTTGGTAGTTCAGCAACTAAACATAATTGAAAGGAATCCAGGGTTGAGCTGACATATCCAGAAATCTAGACTATAACAAATAGAACAAATCCAAGTGTTTCTAGTACATTTTGCTAAAGTTTCAATTCTTTCTCATGATTTAATTATGTATTTGCATTTTTTTAATGCTTGTTTATTCTTTTTTTTTTTTTTTACATTTACTTATTTTTGAGAGACAGAGTGAGACAGAGTGCGAGCAGATGAAGGGCAGAGAGAGGAGGAGACACAGAATCCAAAGCAGCCTCAGAGCAAGCGTTCACCACAGAGCCTGATGTGGGGCCCGAGCCCACAAAACGTGAGATCATGACCTGAGCCGAAGTCAGACATCCAACCAACTGAGCTACCCACGTGCCCCATTATTCTTTAGAGAGAGACAGACAGACAGAGACAGAGACAGAGTGGGAGCAGGGGAGGGGCAGAGAGAGAAGGAGACACACAATCCGAGGCAGGCTCCAGGCTCTGAACTGTCAGCATGGAGGCCAACGGCCCAACGCAGGGCTCGAACTCCCCAACTGTGAGATCATGACCTGAGCCGAAGTCAGATGCTTACCTGACTGAGCCACCCAGGCGCCCCCCATGTATTTGCATTCTAAATCCCTGTCAAAGGATTATGAAACTAGTATCCAAGAAGATGTGATTTCCACTCACCCTAATATTACCCAATGTGGAGAGTAGGCAATATGTTACACCCATATATATCCTTTCTGCTTTTTTCTCTGTAGCTAACAGAAGTCATCTAAGGGAAGGAAGGGCAGAAAACAGGTGGCGTTTGTCACTGAGAAACCGATGTCATCTTATACCAGCATAAAAATATAATTTAGCCTCTAGTGACAGCTCACCTTTTCTCCAGGTTCTACACTGAACAGGATATTCATAAGTACAATTTAAAAGTTTAGTACTGTTGGGGCACCTGGGTGGCTCAGTCAGTTAAGCCTCTGACTCTTGATTTCAGCTCAGGTCATGATTTCGTGGTACGTGAGTTTGAGCCCCATGTTGGGCTCTGGGCTGACAGCGCAGAGCCTGCTTGGGATTTTGTCTCTCTCTCTCTGTCTCTCTCTCTCTCTCCCTCTCTCTCTCTCTCTCTCTCCAAATAAATAAATAAACTTAGAAAGAAAAAAGTTCAATACTATTACCAAAAGGTTTTATTATGATTTTTTATCGTATGGGCTAGTGATTATCTCCAACTCTAGCTTATATATACACACACATATGAAGATGCCTATATAGTGAAACTTTGGGGGAGAATATTTTCCAAAGTTAATAATTGTACTTTCCAATATTAGTCATTAAAATTGAAACCTTTAGCTTGAAATGGAAAGGAGTTCATTTAGCAAGTATTCTGCACTACTGTGCAGCAGGCAGTAGCTAAGTTCTAACCCTGTATTACTTAAAAAAAAAAAAAAAAAATCCTCAGACATGCTACTCATGGGCACTATCTTCCCCCAAGTTACAGCTGAAGAAACTGAAGCTTGGAGTATGTAAATTAGTTGGAACTGGGACCTAGTTCCATGTATTAACTACAAAACCCATTTTCTTTGCCCTACTGCCTCTAGCTTGAAACCCACTCTCTATTTACTCTAAAGTCATCTCTACGATTAAAAAGAGCTTATTTAGTCAACCTAATGATTTTTAATTCTAAAAATCAGGATACTGTCACCAAGAGCCCAAAGATGTAAACTCTGATCCAAGCTCATGTACCAGGCAAAATTACTTAATATCTTACTTATATCCTCATCCCTAAAATGAAGGGCTTATATACAATATTATCTGCATGGTTCCTACTCACACTGGCCTCACTAGCATATATATGAAGATGTATTTCACATGTATATTTCTTGTTAATACTACAGTCTATTAGGGGTGCCTGGGTGGCTCAGTCAGTCAGTTAAGCGTCTGACTTCGGCTCAGGTCATGATCTCACAGCTTGTGAGTTCGAGCCCCATGTTGAGCTCTGTGCTGTACGGCTCAGATCCTGGAGCCTGCTTCATTTCTGTGTCTCCCTCTCTCTCTGTCCCTACCCTGCTTGTGCTGTCTCTCATAAATGAATAAATGTTAAAAAAAATTTTTTTAAATAATAAATTAAAAAAATGCTACAGTCTATGACTCTAGGCAAATATAAGCTATAGCAAATACATATTTCATCCTATTTAGATAGCCTTGGCTTTTTTCTTTAAACATGTCATAGTGTCTCTCATTTTTTTTTTAACTTATTTTGGAAGAAGTGGCTCAACTCTACAATTCCACATTTAAACTTTACATATTTGGTATGGTAGGAAGGAAACAGCATTGGGCTTGAAGCCCAATCTGTCACAAATTGCCTAGTCTTGGGCAAATCATTCTTAACTTCCCTGGGCTATAGCTTTTTATATATAAAAATGAGAACTTTGGGATTCTAATACCCCTTCCAGCTTGAACACTCAATAAGTTCCTTGGGACTATTTGGGGAATGAGATCCCATAGATAATTTTTCTTACATATGCAAATCAGTTGCCCTCATTTTATTCTAATTTTTCCCCTAATTCATAATGGAAACGTCTAAGTAACTGGGTATCGTGACTGCTGTGTTCCATTCTCTCCCCCCGAAAAATGGAGGAAGGGAAGAAGGGAAGGAGAGAGGGGGGAAGAAGAATGAATGACCCCAAAACTCTTCTTAACTTCTTTATTACCTGAATCTTTTTATTCTTTTGAGGGCAGATGAAATACCCTTCAGTTTCAAAGTCAACGTGATATGCTGGTTAAAAGGTAAAATATTATTTAAGAATTAGTGATGAACGAGGACTCTACTCTCAAAGGTAATATTGTTTTTTAACATAGAATATTTTGATGTCAGATACTACTCTGAGAGATAGTACACAACATTCAAAAGTGTGTCGTTAATGACCATCTTTGGACAACTCACTGCTACTTAAACCTTTTTCCCTTCAACTAAAGGATGTCGATCGTTTCAGACTGGCATAGGACTAGTATAAAAAGGACACAAATACCAATGTGGGACCCTGTTTTTATTTTTAAGGTAGCATCCAGAGACCGTTTTCTTCTTCCTCCTTGGCAACCTGTAATTCCTCTGTATTTCCCTAACCACCTCTAATTATCAATACTTTCTTATGCGCAATTCAAGTACTGATTTTCTTCTCACCTCCTGGTTTTGACATTGCTGTTTTTTATTTTTTTGTTTTTCAGGATTCCTGCAGTTTATCTGAGAGAATTGATGGGAGATATTCTAAATACAGAGTTCACAAAGAATCTCTTCAGCAGCGCCGAGATGACACCAAGTACGGAGTCAAAAACTCCAAAGTAATGTCTTTTGTATCCATTTTCAGTCTTTGAGCGTTACCCATGTTTATGGCTATAACCTGCTAGGCTACCCCTGTAGGGTTCATGTAAGGGTACTTGTAAAAGAAAAGATATTACTCTTCAGTTTTGTGGGAGTAGAGAATAAAAATCCAAAGATTTTGCCTGTAAATTTGCACATGGGAACTATCTTTAATTTTATGCCATTGTTGCTTACTATGTTGTCTCTTGGCTTTGATGTTGTTTAGGAAATTTGTGTGGAAGGAAACCCCTGGTCTCTAGGTTGGCCAGAGACTTGACATAGGTAGTTGCCCTCCTCTGTGTGTAAATCCAGCCACTGTCAGTGCTGAAGTCTCCAGAAGGTCCAGTAACACATAGTACTTTGTAAACTACAGTCTTGGCATTTATAGTCCTTTTTTCCCTGAGGATATGAACTCCATTCATCTACTTCAGCATATGGATCACTGGTGTGGAATCAACACAGGAGCCTGGGAACATTTGACCATATTGACAAAAAAGTCTGCCCTTCCCTGGAGTCTCCCCAAAATCCATCTGGGGTGTGGGTGATTTTAAACCCATTTGATCCTGAACAGTTTTTAGCTTAGAGCAGGGTTTCTCAACCTTGGCATTAACATTTGGGCTAGATAGGTCTTTGTTATGGAGCCTGTCCTACGTGTTATAGGACATCTAGCGGCATCCCTAGATTCTACTCACCAGATGCCAGTAGCATCTTCCATCACAAGTTATGGCATCAAAATGTGTCTCCAGACACTGCCCAGCATCCCTAGTTTGTCCCCCATTCAGAACACTGACTTAGAGAGAATCCATCTATATTCAAATGTATACTCCCAAGTCAATTTAGAAAAAAAAAAAAAAAAAGGCAAAGGTTCTTCTGTCTTTTTTATATTCTCACAGACCTCAGTATGTATGCATATTCATTATACTGTATATATTCACTTATTACAGCCAAACATAATTATTTCTAAGAAGCTTCTTCCCTCTTCTGAATGTAATTGGATAGAATGCTCAGTGGATATAAAGGCAGTGTTCATTTTCATAAGCCCTTCCCTAGCATGCTTAAAATGAGCTCTCCACTTGTACCATCCCAAATAAAAACAACACACTTATGCCACATTATTGATGCTCTCATTGTGAAAAGGGCATCCTGTAACTCTGTGCCCTTTTCCCTTTGTTTTTTGTCATTTGGTATTGATGATAACAGTGACCTTGTTGTCTCTTATAGCATATCCTCGTTTCACTAAATCAGCTCCCAGCATCCCCAACAGGTCCCATATACTCAAGCATTTCTCCACCACCTATAGGGTCTGCTCCTAACCTTCAACAGAAGCACAAGAGTTAGGCAGCAGTAGCTAATAGTAATAACTACTCATTGTTGAGCCAACCACATAAGTTGCTCTTTTTGTAGGTGTCACAGGCTTTATATAAGCATTCTCTCATTTAATCCTCCCAGCGACAGGTTGGCACCATTAGTTTTCCTCTTCCACCATTGAAGATTATAGAGCAATTAAATGGTTGCACCAGAGTTAAAACCTAAATCTGCCTGACTTCAGTAATCTATGTCCTAAGCTATCATAGTGTATATTTGGACCTCATATACCTTCATGTTTCTAGCACCAAATATAGAACTATATTTTTAATATGTGAAAGTCAGTTGTCTCCAAAAATACACACACAGTACATGTCTCTTAGTTCAACAGAGGTCTAGATGCAAATGAAACATTTAAAGCATTATTTCCCACTACGGTTAGATTTGGTATCAGGTGAATCAGTACCGTCTCATGACACCCAGATTGCTTTACATCATTGTAATTTCCATAACAGCATATGGCAAAGCTATGAATGGGTAACATGCTCGGCAAGTAATCTTGTTGGAGTTCTCTTTAAAAATTATATTTGCAGCGGAAGAGGAAATCGGGCCTGGTTTGTAAGTGAGGCCACCACTTAGCAAAATGAGAAAAAGTTGAAAATGTCGCAAATATGTAGTTCAAGTATAAGAAAAGGGCACAAAGCACATTTTATGATGACATTGTTCCACATTCATATTACTTAAACATTTTAAAACATTGATCCTTTTCAGTAATGAATATGTACACTATCACCATTTATAACAGATGTCTGGCCTGAAATAATGCAGTCATCTAACTCAACACTCATGAGAATATATTTTTGTAGTCATTGGAGCAGAAAATGTGGGAGCACATTTTCGCCAGTTGTGGATACCAACAATGATTTGCTCATGTGCTTTTTGTGAAAATAATTCATTGAAAAAGTTTCAAAAGAAGCATGAGCTCCGATGGGCAGTGAGACAGTGGTTAATCATTTCTTGGCTTCAGGGATAATCAAAAAAGCTACCTCTGGTTAATTATTGACATCCTAAAGAATATGCCTCAAGTAAGAGGCATTGGTACTCTATCAAGAGAGAAGGTGTCCTAGTTTTATTTGACATTATTTCTGCAGCTATTAACTTCCCACGTATTTTGCTAGGAGAGTTCAAAGAAAAGGCACATTGCAGCAACTTGAATTTGTTGGTTCTACTGACAACTGCGGTTCTGGGAAATCACTTGCTGTAGGATTCAGTTTAATTCTACAAACATACTGTGCAGCTACCACACTGCAAAGCCCTGTACTACGTACCTGTTAGAGGTGAGGATGCGGGATGTAAAAAGATGCAGAAGGCATGGTCTTTACAGAGGGAATAGTTACCTCTCTGTCTTAATCCTAATAGATGATTCTTGCATAATTGTGTTAGAGCAGGAATCAGCAGACTACCTCCAGTGGGGCAAATCTTGCCTGCCAGCTGCTTTTACAAATAAAATTTTATTGAAATACAGCCTCACTCATTTATTCACATATTGTCTGTGGCTGCTTTCACACTCAGCAGCAGATTTGAGTAGGTGCAACAGAGACTAAATGGCTCAAAAGGCCTATATTTGCTATCTGACCCTCTAAAGAAAAAGTTTGCCAAGCCCTGGTCTAAAGAAAGGGGAAATGGCCAATCTAGTCTTTCTTCCTTTACGCATATGTGTAATATTTCCTCTTCTTTATTTACCAGTCAAATAAGTACTTCCCAGGCTCTTTGGAAATTCATAATACTTATCCATGCATTCAACAAATATGTACTGAGTGTAAGTTATGTGCCACAAACTTACTAGGTGCATCGACTCACATCAGTGAACAAAAGAGACGAAGCTCCCTGCCTTTTTGGAGCTTCCATTTCTTAACTGTAGGATATACGTGTTTGGTGTTGCTTAATTATAACATTCAACAAACATTTGGGTCTCTACTATATACAAGCACTCTGCTAGGTAGGGGCTAGAGGCAATGACATGATAAAGAAAAGTCATTACCAACCTTCAGGAATTCAAAGCCTTCACACAAACTGTAGTGCAAAAGACAAAAGGATAACTACTGTAACGGAAGCCTCAATACATTGCAGCTGGTGTTCAGAGAAAAGAAAGATGCTTCAGAGGCTTTTGAAAAGAGGTTTGTAATGACAAGGCACAGGGAAGAGTATTGTGCACATTTGTTTGGAACAGGATCACTATTAGCATTACAGTTGTAGAACCCTGACTGCATTACTGTTGACCGAAAGTTATCTGTTGGGATAACAGAACCATATTGGCAACTGACTTCTCTCATTTTATTGCTGTTGTAAGAAGGCGGTGAGACATCCAGCACAACCCCCCTGCTGGTGGAGAGTAGGGTTAGTGGGAAGCATAGGAGGCAGGTTCCCTTTCAGCCAGGGCTACCGTGATCTCCTGCTGTTTACTTCCATGGCAACCAGATGGGTGAGATAGGTGATGGGGATTAAGGAGTGGCCTTGACATGATGAGCACCGGGTGATGTATGGATGTGTTGATTCCCCATATTGTACACCTGAAACTAATCCTACATTGTGTATTAACTAGAATTTAAATAAAAAGAAAAAAAATCCAATTTCTAGAAACCTTTCGAGATCCAGCAGGACCAACATCCACAGTTTCTGAGAGCATAACATAGTTTTGTATGAAGCTGACCAGGTTTACTGGACAAAGCCTGATCTAAAAGTTGATGTTTGGAATTCAAAGCTGAGTCTGACACAACATTTTCTCTCCATGTGTAGACACCAGAAGCATTTCATGGCCTCTCTTTCATCTGATTGGGTTTCTGTAGGACATACAGCCTTCCTTGCTGCCTCAGCTGTTTCAAATAGAACAGAATGTTCAAAAGTCAACATAGCAGTCCTAATCTGAATTCACAGAGGAGCGTGGTTTTGTCCAAGAAATCCCCATTTGCTTCCCGCCCTTTTTGCTCTTCACTTATGCTAAATACATAGTTTTAATTAGCAGTGGGTTTTATAGTAAAATCACAGAAGGCATGTTTTGTTCCCTTCCTTCCTCCTCCTGAAAGAAAAATCATGATTTTCAGGTTCTAGTTGAAGACTTTAGTACATAACGTCTTTTAAAAGAAGCAGATGTTTTACAGGATAAGATGAGGTAGGTGAGGAAGTGTTGACAATGGCTTTCAGCACAGTTTATAGAGGCAGAGTTTGCCAAAGCCCTTTGTTGTATTTGTTCAATGCAAGCATGCGTATGATATAAGTATATGCTTTTCTCCTGGAAGCTGTTTCTCCCTCCTTGAATCTCTTATGATTTGTTTATACTTTGCTCATAGCAATTAATGGCTGTTAGCTCTTTGTCTCTCAGGTCAGCTATTTCTGTACATATCTTAAATCTTCTACAACAGTAGCTGCTAAAACGTGCTATGCACAATCCTGGTACAATTCAAGATTATAGGTGATTTTTATTTAATAACCATTAAAATACATCACTAGTGTATTATTATTCAAGTAATTTTACAGATGTTGCTTAGAAACAATAGTATTAGCTGTGGGAGAATTTGAGGAGCTTTAACCCTGTAATAATCCAGGTATCTCATTTATAATCCCTTCTCTCCATGGTTTGGTAAGAAATAATATATAAACTCTATGCAAATATAGCTCCAGGCCTCCCCCATGCTCAACCAATCTCCCATCCTTTAAGCCTCTCCTATATAGAGACTTAGGGTGCAAGACTAATCTTTAACATGAAAGAAAATAGTAAGTATAACTGTAGGAGATTACTGAAATTTTGGAAATGCTTTTGAGGACACTATTTGCTTCATCTTTTGCTCCAATATACAATGTGTATACTATTATACATGTTAAATTGGTGGTTAATTTTTTTCCCTAGCTTCAGCCTTTCTGGAATTCTAACAAAAATTTAAATGCTGTTTTCCCGATAATGCTTAGATGACTCATCTGAAACTTTGTAGGCAATCAAATCATGCTGAAATTTGAAGAGATTTCTATTCTTTTGAAGTGATCAATAGTAACTTGCCAGCCATAATATTTAACTGGTTCATTTCATCTAGCTCTTAAAAGCTAAACAAAAGGTTGCCAAATGAGTTGGGGTTTTTCTTTGTTATAAAATTTGAAAATAGCAATGGGTCAAAGGTGCTTCTTTAGGAATCAACAAGATACTTAGATGAGCACATTAATTTTTTTAACCTACTTGAGCCCCACTCTACCAAACCTAGTTCTCTGTAATAAGCACCATACTTTTACTCTGCCCAATAATTTACTCAACAAGAGCATTAGGAAAGACTGTGGAGAAACTCACCTATGAAGATAACACTTTTAATCATCTTTAATTCAGAATTCTAGATACTAAAAACATAAGGAATACTAATTAAATGTCTTAATAGTTTCAATTAAAAATGTCACAACATACTTATCCAAACAATCGTTTCCTTTACAACAGTCACTTTAAGAGAATAATCACTGATTCCAGTGAGGCACCATTATTAAAACAGCTTTGATTCCTCCCTTTGGTTCATAAGTTGGTGGCACATATTCTTGAGTATCCTTATTTATGGCAAATTTTTATTTATGGCAAAGTTTTAGTTTCTGAAAATGGATTGAAATCATGTGGACCCAAATATGAAGTACATAAAAAAATAAGTACAATCTTTTTCATTAGTGACTCACTAGGAATATTAAATTGTATACAATAAAATATCAATTGAACAAAGATAAACAAATGGCCTGATCTGGCACAGTATTTACATGAGTCTCTTCATCCGTGGATGACTGTGGCTTTAGGTTTATAGTGCTGTTATATAAATTTGAATTTCCTGTGGCAAAGATAGTTTGCATATAGTACTGGTTGTTCAGTGGTTCTGTTCAGATGGATTACAATCATAAAATGTTAGTGCCCAGAGGACTTAGACATGATCTGCTCCATTTGCTCTCATTTGTTAACATGAAGAAACTGAGAGTATGAGAGTGGCAATCTCTTCTTTCCCAGCTTCAACCATGGCAAACTTTAATGTCTGTAGTTTGGCCAAGGAATGAGCCTACCTGACCATTTTTTGAATTCCTTAATGCAAACAGTACTGTGCTAAATTTTGGAATATTGGGATGGGTAGATGGAAGGATAGAGACAATGAAAGCCTTACTCTCATTGAGGTTAAAATTAAAAGCTAGAGTTGTAGCCATGCAGGTTGAGGTATGGAAGGCAGGCTTTAAGTAAACTATCTGCCCAGCCAAACTTCCATATAGGAATAAAATTTACTGAAGAGGTTAAGCTTTTTGGACCACTTACAGAGAATTGGGAATTAGCAGTGGCAAAGAGATGCAGGTACGGTGCATTGTTAGGCAAGAGACAAATTCAGGAAAATATTGCTGCCGCAGATTCAGAAACACGTGTTTTTTTTTTTTTTTTTCCCCTTCTCTCCAGGGGAAGGGTTGGATAAATTAAAATTAAAAAAAAAATTAAATGTATCATCTGTCTTCTAAACTTTGAACTTATAATATTCCTGGGAGAAAAATACTTGGTGGGCGTCATTAAATATTAATCATTAGAGATCAGTTTAGCAAAGAGATTTAGTCAGGTTGGAACCGCTTTTAAGAAACCAATTACAATGTGGGTTATGAAAGAGAAGTGGAAGAAACCCAGGGAAAATATTAGAAAATGCAAGTCCCTTCACCCAGTGGAATTTTTGCAGGGAATTCTGGCTAACTAGCTTGTTGAGACTTAAGACAGCAATAAAAATAGGTCCTTGTACTAAGGATATAAGAATTGGTAAAAAAGCAAGAGCTAGAATTCCTAAAATTGCAAAGAATCTTCCTTTTTAACCAGTATTTCCATTTAAATATTTAAGTATTTGATTGAAAGGTAAGAATTAAAAAAGAAATCTTAGGTTACCTTGTCAAATTTAGTTGTAAAGAAATTCCACAAATTAAATATCAGTATAAAATTGGAGAATATGGAAGGTTTTTGTTTTTTTTTTTTTCATATTCTAGCATGTTGATTGTTCAAAGGGATTGTGAAATATTTTTCTTTGGGGGTGTTCTTTTAGGGTACATTTCATTAGTTATATTTCAAGCTAATGAGGGATTCTGACAGTCTTTTGAAGACCTATAAAATGTTGCAACTTAAAGATGTATTAGAGTTAAGCTTCCTCATTTTCTGTATATGAAAAGGAATGTGAGTGGTTGAAAAAGTCAACAATTTTAAACGGAAAGGGGTATTAGTCATAAATTGTACATACCTATTAACAGGGTGTCAAAATATATGAAGTAAAAATTGATAGAATTACAAGGAAAAAATAGATCCACAATTATAGTAGTTGAAGACTTCAACATCCCTCTCAGTAATTGATAAACCAGTAGGCAGAAAATCAGTAAATATATTGAAAACTTGAGCAACACTATCAGGCTACTAGATTTAACTAACATTTATAGGATGGATACTCCACCTAACAACAGCTAATTACATGTAATTTTCAAGTGCACATCTAGCATTCTCCAAAATCGACTATTCTGAGCAATAAAACAATTCTCAATAAATTTAAAATGATTGGAATTATGTGAAGTATGGTCATCTAACCACAATGGTATGAAGCTAGAAATCAATTACAGGAAGATATCTGGAAAATTCCTAGAGGAAAAATGAACAACATATTTCTAAATAACCATTGGGGGATCAAAAGGAAAATGAGGAAATATTTTAACTCTATAAAAATAAAAGTACAATTTATCAAGATTTGTAGGACTCAGTTAAAATACTGCTTGGAGAGAAAATTATGACATTAAATGTGTATGTTACAAAGAAGAAAAGTCTCAAATCAATAGTCCATGTTTCCACTTTATGAAACTAGAAAACAAATAACAAACCTAAATTAAAAGGAAGGGAATAATAAAGAGCAGAAATCAATGAAATAGCAGAAAAATGAGGGAGGGGCATGAAAATTAAACAGGATTTTTTGAAAAGATCAAAAAATTTTAAAAACCTCTACCCAGCTCAATTAGGAAAAAGAAAAGGCACAAATGCCAATATTAAGACTGAATGAGGGATATTACTAGAACTCCCATAGACACTAAGAGGGCATTTAGGAAATATTAGGAATATTAGCATACTGACAATAAATTTGACGACTTAGATTAAATGGATATTAAAAGGGGCGCCTGGGTGGCTCAGTCGGTTAAGCGTCCGACTTCGGCCCAGGTCCTGATCTCGCAGTCCGTGAGTTCGAGCCCCTGTCGGGCTCTGTGCTGACAGCTCAGAGCCTGGAGCCTGTTTCAGATTCTGTGTCTCCCTCTCTTTTACCCTCCCCCATTCATGCTCTGTCTCCCTCTGTCTCAAAAATAAATAAAGGTTAAAAAAAAAAATTTTTTTTAATAAATAAATAAATGGATATTAAAAAACACCCTTGGGGCGCCTGGGTGGCGCAGTCGGTTAAGCGTCCGACTTCAGCCAGGTCACGATCTCGCGGTCCGTGAGTTCGAGCCCCGCGTCGGGCTCTGGGCTGATGGCTCGGAGCCTGGAGCCTGTTTCCGATTCTGTGTCTCCCTCTCTCTCTGCCCCTCCCCCGTTCATGCTCTGTCTCTCTCTGTCCCAAATATAAATAAACGTTGAAAAAAAAAAAAAAAAAAACACCCTTAAAATGTGTCACCTCATAATTCTACTTCTAGAAATCTATGTTAATAAAGTTAAAATGTGGACCAAGCTTTATTCACCAAGATGTTTATCAAATTATAATAGGAAAAAAAAAAAAAAAAAACAACGGAAATCAGACTCACATTTCCAACAATGGGACATTACTCAAATAGACTATGTTATAACCATAATGATGATAATGACAATGGTAGAAGAAATTCCTGTATCTAATGTTAAACATGAAAAACTAGGAAACAAAATTGTCAACAAATATAGAATCCCAATATAAAAAGGTATTTATAAAGAAGAACCAGAAAACATACCTTTACATTAGGCTAAAAGGCTATTTTTAAATTTATTGCATTATTTTCTTCTCAATTTCTTCTGTATTTTCCAAATTTGCTAAGAATGAAATATGTCAGTGACATATTTTAATTGTCAGATGTCAATTAGCTGGTTTATTTATAATTGAAATGTAAATTATTCTTTTTCTGTAAATAGAAAAAATATAACTCACACTTTGATGCTAGTTGCTTTTGTTTTAGAAATTTAAAACAGTGCCTTTTGGGAAGAATGAAAAGGATTTGAATGTCTTTGGGTGCTTTATCCTTCCTCTGGTAGGCTCATCTTGAGGCTGTCTTTGCACTATGTTTCATTCAGGAAGGCGCCCAAACCTGCAACTCCGCTCCTCTTCTCTCACTTTTTCAGCCCAGGTATCAATGGGCAAAAAGTACATTTGCTTCCCTTATTTTTTCTTTTTCTTATTGGCCCATAATGATCAAAGCCTCTGTTAGTGGGAAGCCATTTATTATGCTTTTCTCCTTCATGCTTTTCATATAGAAGCCATAATTAAATGGAGATTTCTAGCACTGGTTGAGAACGTAACTCTCCTTTTCATTTGTGCATCTTCCAGCTCCACCCAGGCCTTAAGTATTTCATGTCTGAACTGTGATAAGCTAGCTCTGTTGTCCTGTGTCAGCTCATATAAGTAGCTATTGAAATACACTGGGGACACAATGTATATCCTTTTCTTTCCAGAGATCCTATAGTGAATGATTTTTAGTTTTTTATGAAATCCCCATAATTAGTAAAAACCATAAGTCACTTGGTTAAAAAACCTCAGGGCCTTGATCTGAAATAGACCTAAACTTCCTTTTAGTACATGAGGCTAATTATCTTGAATCATCTAAGGATTATGTCCATGCTTTTAGCTCAGAATAAATGGGCCTTTTACGATTCTATATAAAATCGTTTGTTTGGGCTTTTCTTTTGGATTTGCATACATATGTATGTGACAAATAAAATGTTAACATGGTACCTGATACAGAAAATTATAACTAATTCATCAAATAGTCCTGTGGCATGAGGCCCTATTCTGTGGGTCCATGTTTTGAGGGATCTATGTGGACCACCTAGACTCTGGCAGCATTCATGATCCCTTCTTCGCCCTTGATCCCACAGTTATCCTCAATTACAGTGTTTTCACTGGTCTTCCCAATTCAATACTTACGCCATTCCAATCTGTTCTCCACATGGTGACCAGAGTATCTTTGAGAAATATACATCTAAAACCTTTGATTTTAAACCTTTGATTGCCGTGTAATGGTACTTAAGAAAAAGAAATCCCAGATCCAGATCCCACCTCTGGATATCACTGTATTCACTCCCCCCTCCCCCCCCCCCCCCAGTTCATTGTGTGGAAGTCATGGGCCTTCATACAATTCTTCAAACACACTAAACTTTCTCACTTCTGCACCTTCACACAAGGCTGGTACATCAGCCCCAGACCACCATCTCCTGCGCCCCTTCCCTCCCACTTCCTCATCCTCCACTCATAAGTTTCTGCCTGGCCGACTCATACTCAACATTCAAATATTGCTTTAAATATCACCTCCCAAGGAGGCCTCCTCTGGACCTCTAATCTAAATTTAATAATTTCCTGTTCTTCTTACAGTACTCACCATAATTCTTCATTATGTTATATTCTGTGTAGTTTATTTGGCACCTTTCTCTTCTGCAAGCCTGAAGGTTTCATAACTGCATACCTCAATATTTTGTTGCTCTTTGACCAGTGCATACTAAGTACCCAATAAATTATTGTTGCATGAATGAATGAGGGGGGGAAGGAAAAAAGCAAAGTGTCGTGTAAGTGGTTAGAACACATTCAAGAGAAAACAATTGCAATTTCACTATTATAAAAAAATACATTAAAGTATCTGTTTTTAATCTAATTAATAAATTACTTGAAGTTAAAATTCATTCCCATTTTCAGCTAAGATTTGGGTACAAGGACACATTCATACAGTCCATGAGGAGAGGGCCTTATTCTCTATTCACATAGTTTATGTATTAAATATTTGTTGAATGAGTAAGGGAATTAGTGTAATCATTATGGAATGCAGTGTAGCTAAGTGTATTTAAAAACATCAAATTGTTTTTATTGACCCAGTATTTCCACCTAAGAATTTGTCATAAGGAATAGTCCTAAACATAGAAAAGGTTATATATTTAAAGATATTCTCACAGTGTTATTTATAGGAGTAAAACATTGGAAACCACCTAAATGCCGAATAAAGTAATAGCTGAGGAAAGCATAGTTTATCCACTCGATAGTAAATGAGTACCACAAGCTAAAGGTTAGGATAATATACAGACTTCAAAAGTGCTTAGAGTATTAATGTAAATAAATGAAGAACACAGTTTTAGAACATGTATAAATCCTATCCACAGGAAAAAAAGACTGGAAAGAAATATGTCATGCTGGTACAGCCATGGGTGATTTCCTTCTGTCTCTTTTTTAATGCTTTCATATTTTCTTTAACATGCACATATTTTTTTTTACAATTAAATTGTTGTATAACATAGCTTGTATATTGACGTTCAGTTTCATTTTCGGTATATTTAAATGAATCCCAATCCTTACATTTTGTAATCATTGAACTGACTTTGTTTTAGGATGACGGAATCTTTGCTGAGAGTTCCCATGCTCATAGGTTAGACCACTCCCCGTCTTGGCCTGATCGCGGTCACTTCCTGTCTAGTCCACGATTTTCACACTTGAATTGTAAGTAATGAAGTCCTGTACCAGTTTTTAAATTGGATTTAAGGAAAGGCAACTCATGGAGAGATTAAAGTGTAAGGCAAGCACACGATAGTAATAGTCATGTTAGGAGTTTGAAGAAATTGTTATTATGGATCATACATGTAACATTTATATTACCCAATTTACTAAAAAGTGTATGGAATCCCTTCTTTTTAGTCCTTGCACTTTTCAGAAAAACTTACAATGAATCGCCAAAGGTAATAATTTTACTTAAGCACATATTTGTACGTGGTGGTTTCTGGTAACTGTGGAAGAGTGGGTAAAGGAAGTTGGATAATATTATTATAAAATTCAAGTCATCAAAAAGTAGTAAATCTTTTCATAGAACTAATCAGAAATATATAATCTTGTGCAAAGAATAAGGATACTAATTTGGTTACTGGCTGGATTTCATTCTGTGAATATCCTGTAAATGTGTATAAAATGTTATCAATGTCAGTAAGGTGTGAATCCGTTGACCCAGGATACTATCCACACCATTTCTGCCTCTTCTTCCTTACTATACTTATTCTTCAAGTCCCAGCTTGTATGTCATGTCCTTAAAGAAGCCTTTGGAACCTACAGGTTTAAGTATGGTGTCTGTTAAAAGTGCCCATAATGTATTAAAGTTTTCCTTTAAAACCCTTCTGATTTATTTTTTTTATCTGAGTGACTTTGTGTTTAGTGATTAATCTCTTCATCAAAGTGTGAATTCCATGATAGGAGCGATGTCTGTTTTGTTCACCACTGTTTCCTCAGTGCCCTACATAGTACTTGGAACATAGTAAATGCTCAGTTAATTAGATGAATGAGTATATGACTCTTTTTTTTAAGTCCACTTTTATCTAAACTATTGGATCTCAAATGTTATTTCATGGATTCTTATTTAGATAATCATTTAGCTCCTCAATTTACCACAGGCATAGAGTTTGTATATTAAATCTGACAACTCTGTCATTTAAAAAATGCAGGTGCTATAAAATACAATACCAAAATAAGCCACAAAAAAGTAGGTCAGATCCAAAAGTGATCACTCTCATTTTTGCTGATTTATATTCATGCATTCATTGAATAAATATTTATCAGTTTCTGATAAATGGTTTGGTTTTTATTATATCATTATTATTTTATTCCAGAGGCTGAGCATCTTCTCTTTCCTGTCCTAACCATTTTACCAAGTGATTTTATATAGCTGCATAAAATCCCTGCTGTTCTAATCTGGCAGCTGCCCTCCAATATGGATTGTATCTCGGGGCGCCTGGGTGGCTCGGTCGGTTAAGCATCCAACTTCAGCTCAGGTCATGATCTCACGGTTCATGGTTTTGAGACCAGCATCGGGCTCTGTGCTGACAGCTCAGAGCCTGGAGCCTGCTTAAGATTTTGTGTCTCCCTCTCTCCCTGCCCCTACCCCACTTACTCATTCTCTGTCTCTCTCTCTCAAAAAAAAAAAAAATAATAATAAACACTAAAAAATTTTTAATAAAAAAATATGGATTGTATCCCAAGTTGATTATAGTACCTCAGAATCTGATATACACATAGGCCAAATTTTTTATGTTTCATATAAAGAAATGGAAAATTTTCCTCAGGTCTGTTTCATGTACATAAACATGGAGGAGAGGAGAGTAGGGACAAAGCACCAGCAAACATCATAGTATCCCACCCATTAAGACATTCAGGAGCTTGGAGATAAATCAGCACCATGATATGAGCACAGAGGTCAGTATTCTGCTATTTAATTTCACCATGATGACTTTCCTAAGACTCCATGGAAAGGCACCTAGAAAGTAGTGGTTGGGAGACCTTGTGGGAAAACATCAAGATTTTTAGATTTTATTAAATATTATGACAGGCAGTGAAAGAAACTACATCCAGCTTTTTACTCAGTAGCATTTCAAGACCAGTGGTGGTCATTTCTCTGTGAGATATTCCTCACAGGAAGCCATAGGTTTTATATAAATATACTAGCTCAAAAGGAAGTAAAGTTAAATAAGAATGGGAAAAAATATCATTGAATACATAACTTGGATATGAAAATACATATTATAGTCTCTATTGTAAATTCTGACTGAAAAATTTAGCTTAAAAAGTAAACCTCTTCATTAACTTATTGTTAACTTATTTAATTTATTAATTTATGTTTTTTAAACATTTATTTATTTTTGAGACAGAGAGAGACAGAGCATGAACAGGGGAGGGGCAGAGAGAGAGACACAGAATCTGAAACAGGGTCCAGGCTCTGAGCCGTCAGCACAGAGCCCGACGCGGGGCTCGAACTCACAGACCATGAGATCATGACCTGAGCCGAAGTCGGACGCTTAACCAGCCAAGTCACCCAGGCACCCCAATTTATTAATTTATACTTTTATGCTTTACTATTCCTCTTTTTGACAAGCCTGTTTTATGATTTTCCTCTCTTCCTACCTGCATGGTTTCAAGAATACTTTTAAAAATTTAATCATAGGTGCCTTATTGTTAATAACTTTCAGTGGTTGAATTGAACTTATTTCTAGAAATCATAGTTCTTCTTATTTATTTTTGTGATGAACTTTGAAATTTCTGTGTTTTTCACAATGTGGTATTATTTTAGATCACCCTGAATGCTTCTCCATTTTTATAGCACAGTTTCAGCTTAGTTATAGAAATTGAACTATAATTTTTCTTTAACCTCCTTTTAAACCTCCAAAATTGAAGAGGAGAGATCTCAAGACCAACAAAGAGAAAAATGAGCCTATAATAAATTGATCACACAGAGAACAGAATGTGTCTTTTAAAATAGCATTAATGTCCTCAGAGATAGAAAATATTACATCCATTAAAAAGAAGAACAAGATGCTATGAAAAAGGAACACAATATAAGAGGTCTCAGAAATTTAAAATATGGGAACACCTGCGTGGCTCAGTTGAGAATCTAACTCTTGATTTCAGCTAGGTCATAATGCCAGAGTTGTGGGATCAAGCCCCACGTTGGGCTTTGCACTGAGCATGGAGCCTGCTTGAGATTCTCTCTGTCTCCCTCTGCCCCTCTCCCCCCACTCAAAAAGAAATTTAAAATATGAAAAACCAGAAAGGTGGAAAACAAAGTTGAAACCACAAAGAAAATAGAAGAAAAAGAATGGGACCGTAGGAAAGAAAAGATATTTAGAAAATCCATTCCAGAAGAATAGTACCTGGTTAATGAGGGTCTTGAGAGGAGAAAACAACAGCCTGGAGTAGGAAGGTTAGAAAGGCCCACCCGACTGTCATCCTGAGATTTTTCTTCACCCTCTTCTTGTGCTGATGCCCAAGTTTCTCAGAACACATGCCTTCCTCTGTTTGTCTCAGTTCTTTCTTTTGTGGTTAGCACATCAAAGAAAGAAAAGGGAGGTAACTGCTTTCATTCTTTGTACTTCGGAAAATAGATTTCTTCTATTCACCCTTGACGAGACTTTGGCTAGCTATAAAATTCTGGGTTGAAAATGACTTTCCTTCTGAAGTCATTGTAGTATTCTCTTCCAAAATCTAAATTGCTGTTGAAAAATATTGTCTTTTTCTTTTGACCCCACTCCTCAGAAGCGATCTTCTCCACCATCACTACCACCCAACCCCCAGCCCTGGGACCTTTTATGATCTCTTGTTTAACCACAGTGAGTTTTGTGATGATTTGCCTCCCTGCAGGTCTTACTTTATCTGCCTTTCTAGCTATTTGATGGGTGGGCCCTTTTAATCTGGACACTCATGTTCAGTTCTCTCAGATTGATAGAAAAAAGGAAAGATTCCATCAGGAAAATCTTTAGGAAATAAACAAACTGTTAGGTTATTTGATTCAGTTGAGCACTTAAAAGAAAAACTACTGAAAGACATATGGCAGATCTCATTGAGCAATTAGAAATAATTAATGATAGTCTCAGAGAAAGAGCAAATAAAAAAAAACAAAAATAAAAACATAGGTCAAATAATAACTCCAGGGGGGAAAAAATGGGCAAGAAAAGAAACATTGTCATAGTATACTTATTAGGTTTGTGTGAGCCATGTTTACGTAGTCATGATATTATAAATACTACTGACACAACTAGAAGTTCAAATGTAACTATATAAGGAGGATGGGGTGAAGGGAAGTGGACGGGTGTGAATAAGTCTAAAAATGATAAATCAGAAAATAGCAATATAAGCTGCTTTTTCTTACAAAAATTGAAGTAAATACAGAAAATAAAGCTAAAAGAGTTGATTGTGGTTGACTCTGGGGTGCAGGATTGTGGGATTGGGAGGGAGGAGGTAAGAGGCCGCTGTCTTCCTGTGTGGCCCTTTGGTGCTGTTTGATAGGTGTATGTACACTTTGGCTAAAAAGGCATCTTGTAAAAATAAAATGCTACTGAGAACACCCAGCTTTTATGTCTGACTAGCAAGTATTCGATTTTCTTGTTAACTTCTAAATGGAACATGAAAGCTGGGGGTTGGAGTTTAGAGCAGTTTAGACCTGTATAGAGATGTAAGGAGTAAATAACTGTAGGTGCTGAGGCAGACATGAGTTTATGAGCCCACAGAACAGGCTCCTTCTTACTCAAGTTGGGATTTGTACTGGATGAGGCCCTTTTGTCTATGCCGTAGATGCTGAGGCATTCGTTCTGCTGACTTAGGTGCCCTGTCAAACTGTGACCAAACTAAAGCATAGAATCACTGACCATGGAAAAAACAAAGGAAATGGGAAAATACTGCATAATTTGTGGTCTCTGAAACGATCCAGCATTAATGAAAGTTTGTTTTAAGTAGTAATTTATGTCAGCTTTGTGTAGTTCAGGTCAATTCAAGAAAAGGTAGATTCCTTCTGCCAGGAAGAAGGGAAGAAATGTATAAATTGTAAGTTTATATTACCATTGGAAATAGGAACACAGAAATCCATTATTTAGAGCCATGATTACTACCAAATTTATCCTGGCTGGCTACAAGTGATGGCCGTGGTTCAGGACACTCTTTTAGAAGGCTTGGATTCCATTACCTTCAGCCTCTAGGACAGTGGGGGCTTAGAAAGAGAGACTTAATAATGCCAGCTTTTGAAACTGTCATTTTTACTTTTTATAAGTAGTGACTGACCACTAGTCTCCATGTATAGCTCCTTTTAGGCTAAAGGAACACAGCTCTCAAGACAGGGCCCTTACTCTTGGGGCCAGGACTAGACTGGATTTGAGGGAGGACTATAGTAATCTGATGATTTCTCGAAATCTCGAGTCCTTTGAGATTAAAATGCCTAATGTGTGTGGAGTTGGTACTAAATTTTAAAAATAAATGCAGATTTCAAATTTTCTGGAATTCTAAAACTGTTATAAATAATGTTTATTAAAATAAACAAACCCCAAAAGAAAGGACTATGATTTTTCATGGGGGAGGGGGGGAATGTTACAGGATTTTGTTGTGAATCTTACATATTAATTTAACTTGATATTCTTAAAAAAGCAAATCAATGAAAGTTGCTAAAAGGAACTATCTCTCGCTTTCTTACTTCAGTTTACATTGCTATGAAAAGAAAAGTTATTATTCTCAGTTTGCGTTTTGAGATGCCTTTAGTGGGAGTTTAAGTCCCTCCAATGAAAAACAATTTATCTACAGCAAGAAAAGCACACTCTTTTCACTTCTGTGTTGTACTTCAGGATCCACTGGCTAACTGTGAACTGCCTCATATGTAGTCTGTCCTCAGCCTTGCAGAATAAAATACCAAAGATCTGTGGTATTAACAATGTGGGGTTACTGGGTGCCTGGGTGGCTCAGTCTGTTAAGCTACCGACTTTAGCTCAGGTTGATCTCACAGTTTGTGAGATGGAGTCCCACATCACGTCGAGCTCTGTGCTGAGAGTGTGGAGCCTGCCTGGCATTCTCCCTCTCCCACTGTCTCTACCCCTCCCCTGCTTGAATGCTCTCTCTCTCTCAAAATAAATAAGTAAACTTTTTTTTTTTAATGTGGGGGTACTGATAAAGGTAAAAAAAAGTTTCTTGTCCACTAAAAGATTTATTTCATGGAAGCACAACTTTTTTGTCTCTCCATTTTATAGGTTCATTTTATGTGATGGTGATTTTTGTAGGTGAGACAATCTTTTCACTAACTAGTCCGGTGTCAGATATTTTTAAATAACTGAGTTCTGATTATAATGATGTACGGGGTACTCTGTAGATGCTGTCTAGAAAGCAGCCAGAAAATTGCCAGTTGACTGTCTCTTAAAGATCCCATAAGTATATTCACTTCTTCAAATAATATTTACTAAGAGGTTATGTAAGAGGCTCTCTGTTTGGCTTGGGGGGTATACAGTAGTGAGCAAGACAGAAGTGGTCACCTCTCTCATAGAAGAAACAGGTGGTGGCAAGTAAACAATTTAAAATGGTGATTGGTGCTGTGAAGGTAAAATGAGAGGAAAGCGCCTGGAAAACAGGACTGCTTTAGATCCGTGATTAGGAGAGTCCTTTTCGAGGAGGTTACAGCTGAGCTGGAGCCTGAGTGGCAAGAACCAGCTGAGCTGAAATTGGGTGGGAAGAGTTTTCCTGAGAGAGGGAGCAATAAATATGAAGGCCACAGAGAAGAAAAGGGGTATGGTCTTCTAGAGAGTTGGAGCATTGAGTAAGGGGGTCTGGGGGAGAGAGAAAGGAAAGGTCAAGTTCCATGGAGCCTTTTTGCCACAGTCCCATGTTTGGATTTCATTCTAAGTTTCCTGGGAGGCTGTTGGAGGATGGAGGTGATGGGTTATGTGGGAGAGTGACATAATCTGATTTACCTTTTGGAAAGATAATTCTGGTTGTGGTGGTGTGGGGAAGGGGATACAGTGAAAATGGGAAGAGAGAAAATGGTGGCTTGGGCTGAGGCGATAGTAATGGAGATGGTGTGAAGCCTGAGAACTAGGGTGAATTTGGGAGGGAGAATCTTCAGTATTTACTCTTAAGTTGGATGGGGAGAGCAGACAGGACAAAGGAAGGAGGGAACTAAGGTTTGAGAAACCAGGGTTGGAGGGGAGGAGTATATCACTTCCTAAGAAGGAGAAAAGAAGGAATGGCAGGTATCAGAGATTAGAAATGAGGCAGGCAGATTTCCCGTAGGAGTTGGACATGCCTATCTGGAGCTCAGAAGGGAGGGAAGTAGGTAGTAGAAAAACAGTAAACCTAGATTCCAGATCTAGTCTCAGTTTGTGTAACAAAGAAGATTCTGTAAAAAGAAGGCCCTTAACATTTCTCCCTCCAAAATTCTGTGTGTGCTTTGTATTGTTATATATTGACCAAACATACATCTTCCATTCTCAGATACTCTTCAGATCCCTCCTAAATTAAATCATATGAATAAATGTTTTCCAAAATACAGTGAACTTATTACGTTTATTCCTACACTGAAGGTCTGTTAGTCCTTGTAAAGTTTACAAAAAACTAGATCAGATACAATGATTACTTACAATTTTGTCAGCCCAAGGATTTTATTCATTTAGGTTTATTTTTGTCTTTTCTCTTGCCTTTCCAGCATTTACCAAAAGAACAGTTACTCCAGATTCACCTTCAATCAAGGAAGATGCCAGCAGTTTACCAATGGATGGGACAAGTCCACAGTCTAAAAAGGAGGAATATGAAAGCAAAAAAAGCAAAATGTAATTCGTTGCTCTACATGAGTGTTTCACAAATAATAGCATATCTGTCCTTGTTGCAGTCTGGCCTGGATTATCAAGCAGACGTATCTACAGCTTCTGCTCTTTAGCATTGCCAAACACTGACTAAAATAACACTATACTTGGTCTTTGGAAATTATAGAAGTTAAACTAATCCAAGTAATATCAGCTCATGAATGGCATACAACTAACTTATTGGCAACTTATACCAGCCGAGAAAGAGAGATATTTTTCACTTTGCATTTTCCTTTTTCAGGCATGGTCAGCCAGTTTTTGAACCAAAATTTGGATATATAATTGGGATGTTTTAATAATTACTGGCCAAACAGGAGGGAAATGAGTTCTCCTCGAGGCAGAAGTTGTCAGCACTTTCGACTCAGGGAGTGTTTATATACAATCGATTTTTAAAAATGCTTGCTCCCTAATAAATTATCATGTGTTATAACATGTCATGGAGATATGCATATATAATACCAGACGGTCTGCTTTATAAATGCTCAGGATTGTTACATTCATCATCCCAGCAGTCTGTTAGTACATGCAGTATCTTAAAATTTTATTCCCAATCATCCATTTTTAATAGCAATAAAGAATTTACAAGTGATACCTGAATTGTAGAACACTGTAAAGAATTCATAGCACAACTTATTTATTTATCTTTTTGTGGCCAAATATCTCACTGCAATCACTTTGTCATATTCTGGACCATCACTGGTTTTACTCTCACCAGACTCAAAGTTCCCAGACTCCTGTGTCATGAGATTTACTCCGCAAGGGTTCTCTCATAATTCGGTACTATCTACTTCAGCATCTCAGCCTTCTTTGACATCAAAGTGTTTTTAAGAACTTATGCTCTTTACATGCTAATCTACCAGTGGAGAAAGATTTCTAATGATGCTAATGAAAGGTAAAACAACCAGGAGCTAAATCCCACTGGGTCATGTTGGAAAATTCTTCATAGAGACAAGGGCAATAAAGCAATGCCTTCGTAATTACATTTGTGCTCTTTAAAGCGTACTTGCTTATTCTCATATTTGTGAAGATGCTTCTATTTCCACCACCATGTCGTACTAACTTACTATATTTGAATGTCCAGAGCAAATGACACTCTTTGTTTATGAACTTGATTGGAAAGGCTACTACAGAGAACAGAGATCTTTGTCTCAAAAGATTACATAATACAATCTCCATAAGCTCTGAGAGTACAACCATGAGTTTTACCATTTATTCATGACAAAAATCTTTTATTGAGTTCCTACTATGGGGCAGTCATTGCGCTAAGAGGGAAAAAAGAGACACAAACAGCTATGCATGACCCAAAGTTTATTTGGCATTAGGAATTGCATGAAAAAGGAGTGATGTGTTCAGGCTAGCTTGAGAAACTCTGCATTAGACAACATTAAACAGGTTTGGTTTTGTTTTGTCTAACCTCAGGACTTCAAGCCGTTAATGTGCTAATGAGCACTGTGGGGTTTAGTGGGAATAGCCCTTTTTGAAGGAGCAGCTCACAATCCTGGTGTTTCTCAGAACCTATATTACACTATAGTAATACTGGGGGTATTGAGAAATTATGTCAATATTTGCATTGATGTGTTGACCAATACTGTAATATTTTATCTCCTTGGGTCTAAGTGACTAACTGGGAAGAAAATAAGGGACAATATTAACACATTTTATTTAAATATTATGGATAAAAGTGAGTTAAATAGCTTTTCCCTTAATGTGTTAGTAGGAATGCCATGCACTCCATTCTTTTTTAGTAGGAATTGATTTAAACCACTCTTAGTACCTCTGTGGCCATTAAAAAAATTACACCAGGCCAGTTAGACCTGAAAGTTGAAGGTAACACAGGTTATTTACCTGGAAAATCCTTGAAAACATATTAGCTGATGATTTTATAACAGAATGGAGAGGGACCTTATGAAAGACCTTTTTTAATCTGAAAAAAATAAAGCCATTATATCATATTATTGAAGACCTTGTGCTACTGTTGGATGAATGAAGGTGTCTGACTTTAAATATGGAACACACAAGAACTTCAAAGGCAAAGTCAACTTTTTGTGAGCAAAAATTTTGTCAAAATTCCTTGGCCCTCTGTTTATATGGAATTGAATCCAAGGACCTGTCTTCTCAGAGGATTTTTTCCTATCTCTTGCAGTCAGTCACTGTAAGCTCAAATTGGAAATCAAAAGGAATGCTAAGGAAACACTAATAGCTTGATTTTTACATTTCAAAGCCAGCAACTGTTTTTCCTTCACTCACCCCTTTGGCAGAATAACCTGTGATATCAGCCCCATTTGAGTTGTGGTTGGTCAGCCATATTGCTTATAGTACTGGGACATTGGAAGGGATCAACCTTATTCTTGCAGTGAGCCTGGTCCAAGACTTAATTTGAAGATTGACCTTTTTGGTTTAATAATTTTGATTCTTCTGGCCATCTTTCTCCCTAAACACACTAAACTTCCATTGAAGTTACTGAAGGCCACAGAAGGGAGAAACACAGCTGGGAGAAATCTGGCTGGATGTTTTTCCCATTGGCTAAGGTTATTATTATTTCCTTGACTAGTGTCTGATTTAAAGGTTGGAAACCGGTTGGTTACATAACATCTTATGCATCCAGTTTCCCAGAATCACCGGCTTTTCTTCTTATTGTTACAGTTTACATATCTTTACTAGTAAAAGATATAAATTCTATAGCTTAACAAAAAAGTACACATAAGGCATTTGAATTTAAAGGTTACATAGATTAGAAGTGCCTACCTACTTAGCTCAGAAAACAAGCCTATTTTTTTTTTTTTTTCATTTTCATCTTTTCAGCTAAGGTTTTTGAGGCTCTGGTCAGTGGTATATGTAAGGTGTATTTACACTCATAGTAATTGTTACATTTTCTTTAATGTGTATTAAAATAGCAAATATTGTTTTAAATGGAGCCAAATTCTTACACATAATTAGATGGGTATATTTACTTAGCCAGACCCTTTTTAGGAAAGGGTTAGGAATCTCAAATTGTTTTACTCAGGTTTTGTACTATAAACCCAACTATACATCATTTAATAGCCAAGAATAGGAATGATCATTGAGTAAATTATTCCTTTTCCAAGATTCTTACACCCCCTCCTCAAACAAACTATCCCGGTATTTCCTCTTAATTTATTTTTTTAAAAAAGAAAGAAATTTGTGATGTTCATGGCCTTCAAATGAGGAAGCTGTCCTCACGAAGGCATCTGGTTTTCTTGGATCAAAACTACCATGAACCTTAAGCTGGAAAGAAAATTTGGGAAAGTTTGTATATAAAGGCATTTCATGCACCAAAGTATGATATAAAAATAGTTACATCTTTCAACTTTTAAGTTCTCAAATGTTTAGCAATAAAAACATCAGCTTATCCCTATTTGAGGAAAGAAATTTAAACCATGAAAGATTCCATTTAGTTTCATTTCCGTACAAAACACGACACATCTAATTTAAGGCTAGGAGAAATGCTTACATCTAGAAACAGAACTTTTAGATTCCAAGCCCCCAAACAAATTTCAGAGAAGTCTCCCTTGCTTTTGATTAGTAACAAAGTAAACCAATTTTTCTGCTCTGGTGAAACCAGACCAACCTTCCAGTTCTAACCTCATCTGCCCCCAGTTTAGCTTCTCCTGCTTTATCCACACCTATGGCCCACATCCTACCTAAATCCAAACCCAACTCAGGTCATTCCTCGTGTTCCACCAGGTCAGCCTCAACTGTTGATCTTTGAAGTCTAATAACTACAACCTACAATGAAGGGGCAGACTGTCAGGGGTTTGGAGCACCTGCATGTCTTCCAGGGCCACCAACTGCAAAAGGATTTAAATGGCAAGTGGCTGACTACTCAGAGTTGAAAGCCTAGGAAAACTTCTGTGGCTGGGTATCTTCTGTAACACAGCTTGACTCTGACCATGGTACAAAGCCATGTGACAATTGTGGATGAGAACTTGTTGCCTTGTTCTCTGCAGGAGGATACTGGATTTCTGAACATAACAGCATGTTAATTGCCTTTCAGGAGGATAGTCAAAACAATATGTAATCTGATGACCTCCACCTGTCAAAATGTGGAGTCTTATGCCATTGAGCATATAGATGAGAACATGAAAAGAATTCTATAGTAAAATAAGAGCCATACATTAATCACCTGCAATTCTAATGATAACTTGCTATGTTTAAGGCATTGAAGTCACTCAATTGCCATTCCAGAATGAATGCTCTTCCTCAAACTGGCAGATGCTGGACGTTCATGCCCAGACTATCTTCTGTCATCTTTCCATAGATCCCCATGATTTGACAACCTCATTTTTCATTCTTTAGTAAAGCATTTTGACTGGCATTATTTAAATTTTAAAAAGTTAACAATTTATCCTTAAATATTGGAGCTTTGTGTCAGCAGTATAAAAGATCAGAATACTGGTTTGAAGCAATATTTTTTAAACAAAATTAGTGGATATTAAACTACCAACAGTTCAGATGTTATAATTTAAAAGTAAGAAAATATCTTATTCTGAGGGAAAGGAGGATAATATTATATGCTCATTAGTCACTAATTGACAGTGATTTAATATTTTCTTAAAATGTTTTTTTTGTTGTTGTTGTTGTTTTTGTTTTTTGGGTTTTTTTTTTTGTTTGTTTGTTTTTAATTAACAAGTCCTGGGGCATCTGGGTGGCTCAGTCGGTTAAGTATCTGACCCTTGATCTCAGCTCAGGTCTTGATCTCAGGGTGGTGAGTTCAAGTCCCATGTTGGGCTTTGTGCTGGGTGTGAAGCCTACTTAAAAAATAAGAAAAAGGACAAGTCTAAATTTTATAGTATCAGGTTTTCCATCAAATTACGGTTTCCTTTTGTTTTTATTTTCTTACAAATTTTCCATTTTAGAGTCAGTTGTATTTTTGAATCATTTGAAGCCACCAAGAGCTCAAATGGCCTTTAAAACACTTGGCCAACAAGATGAAAATCTTTACTTTGAGACAGTGCATCTCCCTTTGTTCTTGAAATACTCTATTTCAATTCGAAATATTTCCTCCAATTGTATGTCTGGCTGGCTGGCTGGCTGGCTCTCTCTCTCTCTCTCTCTCTCTCTCTCTCTTTCTCTGATTTCTTTCTCTGGAATCCATAGTCATGTCCTCAAGAATCTTTGGAAGCACCTTTATGTCCTTTACTTGGGCCAGCCTGTGGACTGGAGTAATGCTGGTCCTGTGCCTGCATTTCAAGACATCAGAATAATGGCAACCATAAAGAGTTAGTGAGATTAGTAATTAACTGATCATTTTTTTCCTAATGAAGTAGGCTGGTCTGTTAACCAGGGGTAAAAATGCTTCTTTTGGTAAAACAAGATGGTTCCTCTTCATCCTTTTGTGATTGTGCACAGCTTTTTTTCAGAGCAGTATTTATATGTACTTCATATATCAGAAGAACCTATTTATGTCACCTAATTTTTACCTGAAAGCCGAAAGAGCAATCCCCAAAATGTGTCACATTGCACATAGAATTTAAAATCTAAGTTTCTAATATATCCCCTTTATAAGGGTTTGGTGTTTTGTTTTGGTTTGGTTTTTTTGGTTTTTGGTTGTGTTTTTTTTGTTTTTGTTTTTGTTTTTTGTTTTTTTGTTTTTTGTTTTTTTGTGCCAGCACTTGAAGCCAGCTATTATCAGATCATACTGCATAACTCGTATTCAGTGTTATCCCTAGGGTAGTGGTAATGCTAGTTTAGCTTTTGTTTGTCCATTATTACTGAGCACTTAGCTGGATAAGGGAATGAAGGATGGCAGGAGTTCTGTAAAATGATATGAACACAGAGGAAGCTGGGTTGCCTTCAACAACACACATTTTAAACTGTTTACTTGGGAGAAAGAACTGCGGTAGCACTGCATCCTTTATCTGATGCAGGGTCCTGGAAAGCGGCATTGTGCAAAGTGGAGAAGTGCTGTGAACTTGTGCCCTATTAAGTCCCCTTTCTGAGGCACGTTGCGCTAATCTTTAATGTTCTTTGTGGACTGCTTTCTGGCAGTTTGGATCTGGATGGAAAGTGTCCTCCTTTCAGATATTTTTCAGTCAGAGTGCCCTGTGCTTGTCTGTCATTTGGGATTTTCATTTTATTTATGCTGTCGTTAAGCCCACCGTGAGTGAAGATACAGGCTTGATTTATGGCTTAGCATTCTGAAAACTTCCCATCATACTGAACCTCAGCTGTCAGTTACCAGAAATCAGGCAGCCATGGCAGTTAAAGCCATCTAATATGGTGGCTTTGGGGAGGTTGGGCAGTTTAAAAGATGTTTGGAGAGACCTAGGGAGTTTGGCTTTTTTTTTCTTCTGAGCAGAATAAAATAGATGCATCAGTTCTAACGAGGCACTTCCTGCCCAGAGTCACTGGCAGAGCAGTCTCCTCCCAACAGCTGCAAGCTTGAGAGACCTCATGCTGCTGGCCAAGGTTCATTCTGTGCTTTGACTAAGACCACAGCCAATAAAGCCAATGTGTACCGTGGAAAGACTTCCCCATTTTTTCCATTGGAGAAGGCTTTTGTGAGGTTAGTTTGACTGTTGCAAATTAACAGTGGTGGTCATTGCTCATTTTTTTAATTTTAACTGCATGTAAACCTACTGATTAGATTCCATTGAGAACAAATCATAGCTTTCTGTAAGATACGTACCCTTTTGTCCAGTATTCCTTCAACCCCTGGTTCTCAAAATGTGGTTCCCAAGCCAGCAGTGGCAATAGCACCTGAGAGCTGGTTAACTACAAATTCTCAGGTCAGGAATAGGTGTATTCCTCTCACTGGTTTCAAGAGTAGAACTAGTATTAGATTATGAAAAGGGTGTGAACTTCTTTAGGGCTGAGTTCTGATCCTGTTTTCTTTCCATCCTCCCAGGTTACTTGGAAGCAACCTGATTTGGGACATTGGTTCTATGTTACCATTTCACATGCAGTTTTGTTTTGTCTATACCAGCAGCTCACAGCTATCCACACTGTGTTTCAGAGTAACATTTCCAGACTCTGACATTGTCATCTTTAAAAAGATTTTGGTGTAATGACCACTGTTAAGTCTCATCCAGCTTTCCCTCACTGTCTACGACTGAGATGTGGGGTTTAATGTATCATTCCATCTCTCAGTCCTTGGAAGACTAACAATGGCCATATGTAATTTGTCTTGGCCTTTTATCTTACATGTTGTACCTCTCCCCCTATTATGTATGACTGATAATTTGAAATATTTGTTTGAATTTGAGTTGCTTCCCCTTCTCATTTGCTTAGGAATAGACTAAATTGAAATCTACACAGAATTCTCCCAATTGTAAAGTATATCAACTAAATCTTCTCAAGAACTTCTCAATTTCTGAGCAATTGATTTAAATATTACAGTATGTCTTACATTAAGGAAAGTTTTTCTGCAAGAGTGATTATTTATTGAGCAACTACAGTGGATAGGCCCCATATCAGAGTCTTTGCAAAGCCCCCACTCCAGCTAATTGCAGCAACTGAAATGTGCAATTCTTACAATAAATAGCAATATCAAGTAAATTAAGCAAACAGCATAACCCTTTAAACTGTGTTTAAAATATCAATTAAGGGCACCTGGGTGGCTCAGTCAGTTGAGTGTCCAGCTCTTGATTTCTGCTCAGGTCATGATCTCACAGTCATGGGATCAAGCCCCATGTCAGGCTCTACTCTGGGAGTGGATACTGCTGGAGACTCTCTCTCTCCTTCTCCCTCTGCCCCTCCCCTGCTTGTGCACATACACTCTTTCTTTTTAAAAAACAATAAAAATGATAATAAAATATCTTCAATTCTTTTATGGTTTAGACTTTTTACCAACTAATCATATAGATAATTAAAAAAAAGAAGCTTACATAAATATACAAATGCAGTTTATTATACCTTTTGTGATCTGTTTAGAAAAACTTTCCACTGTTGAACAGGGACTGTGCCTATAACATATTTAACATTCATAAGTTATTCTGCATTGGTGGCCTTCCACCCAAGAAATTATTTCCATCAATTCAAATGTGTATCTATTTTTTTAAATTCATTCATGCAATGTGAACCTATTATATCTTGTTTCATTGGTCAGAAAAGTCTTCTGTATGTATTGCCAATCTTAACCTTGTAATTTTTAAGAATAAATATAATTCCTTTATTTGGTTCACTGATAAATTTGATTAGCTGGGTGTATATGTTTAAATATACAAATATTTCATAATTCCTAGTTACCAATTATAATAGTTACATAATACACCATTTGAAATTGATACAACTAAATTTACATACTCACCCAGACTTGCATATGCTAAACTTTCATTTCCCATCAACAATTTGCTATTTGTTTCCCTTCTCAGAAAAGAGAATGAAATTGAACTTTTTTAAGAAAGCAGGTGAAAAATTGTATGTATTTAGATCACATCAAATAATATAGGAAGACAGCCAAGACCCTTACATTATCCTTGATCTCTTTTGAGTGTAAACACTAAAGGTGAAGTATCAGTTTGGACACAGCCATACAACATCAAAATGATCCTTGTTTTCATATTTTGCTTTTGGGCCACGTTTACTTTCCACAAACAAGGATCTTGTGAATATGTGAAAATTTACCATTTGTTGCGCACTACATAAAGCTTAGATTCAAATTCTCAGAACCGTTACCGAAGATGGGCTGAGCTTCTCATAGACAGATCTCATGTGAGAACAATCCAGTTCTGGAGCCACTGAGATCCAGATGTCCAACTGAACAGCTGCCATCCTCTGTCTGCAGTAACCTTGGGATCACTGACCATGTGTTATGCATTTCTTATCCTGACGCCCATGATTGAGGTCAGATGTTCTCTACCCTTAATTTTACCCTTTGGGACTCTATATTTCTCAGTGGGATGTACAGTCACAGACACTGGTACCACAGAGCAACTAGAGAAAAACTTTCCCATGCAGTGTTCATATAAGTAGATGTTCTGGCTAAATTTCCATTACCTTTAAATATTTAGTGTCTATTTCTCTTCTCAGAGAGTGATTACAAGTGAACCGGAAACAACATAGGCATATAAAGGAGAGTAACTTAATTATCTTCCAGGGTCTGTAACCCCAGGGTTATATGTTGAGAGCATGGATGTGAAAGGAATCTTGTTTGGTCCTTCTACATGTGCAATCAACACATTTGAAACATACCAGCTTTCCTAATGTGGTAACTGAAGCTTATCAGAGTAGCAACTACCTGAGTGAAATCTATGCTTATTTTGATACTGATCTCAACACAACTTTATACAAATGTTTGATCGATTTTACAAAAGCAACATTGTCTTTTACCAAACAGAGTAATTACTTACCTTTTGCTGGTAGCATCATGACAGCTAATTCCCACGTTACCCATAGCTTGCGTGAAGAGCCATTAGGTAATGTTTGGAATCCAGGTAGGATCTGGGAAGGTCAGACCAATGTAAATTATCACCACTTTAATATTTGCAGTGCATTTTTCAAATTACCAGCCAAAGGTCTAATATCCAAAACAATGTGTGTAATTTGGAACCAAGATTCAGTTTTTAATTGTTATTTTGATAACATCATAGATTGAACATCTTCCCAATTCTTTAAATCAGTGTGAATCCAGAATCAATATCTTTGAAAGCTATATAAAAATTTGTCATATCAACCATTGGTACCTAGGAAGCATGTTTATTTGAGGTAGTATGTATAGATGCTATCAAAATAATTATATTTCTAAATGTAAGATGCTTCACTAGAGAAGAAGGCACTGTGTTTTACCTAGCAAGGGAGCTGACATATTGTAAGTGTTTAAAATGCATTCAGTAACTTGACTAACCACCCCACACTCTCAATCATTTTTCTCTACAATAAGCAAAGGTGTTTATTAACATCTTGATAGCCAAATTTGCAATGTCTTTCAGCACTTAACAGACCATTTCCCTGATTGTATTCATGAAAATTCAATCACAGTGTTATTCTTGGAATTTCTGCCTAAGGGTTTAAACAATGCCTCAGTACTTTGAATGGCAAGGATATCACACTGATCAGATAACATCCCTATGTCACCAATATTAGTGACTAATTTCCTACACATGAAATGTGCTGATTTTCCCATACCGGATATCAGTAAAATATCTGTGTTATCATGGCATACACCATCTCCCTTGTGTTTGTGTAAGTGTGCTTTGAGGCCTGAGTATGTGTTGGCCATCATATTTGTGGATTTTTATAGAGATTCCTGTCATCACCACGTGTTTCACCAAGACTTTTCCACCAGATGGTTTATATGGAACAAAATCCCTGAGGTTGCAGTGTTGGTCCCTTAAATCCCAAACTGATTTTGCAACGTAGTATTTTATTAACATCAATTGCTCCATCATTGTTGACTTCAATATTATCTTGCGGAAGCTGTGCTTCACCCGCTATATGATAGAGCAAGTAAATTTTGCTGGGCCTTCTAGGCCTTACAATATCCAGCCAACTTGTGGCTTCTTGTGGTTTTGTTGCCTATTTGGTCCCAAAAGCATTCCTTTATTTCTGGACATTTGGCTTGAGAAATTTGCTTAGTTCGTATGCCAATTTCTTGTCAGTTGGCAATTTATTTGCTGACTTGGGCTAAGTATCTGCTATAAAATCACTTAGAATTGTGTACTTCCATCCTTCTTTGTCTTTACTTTTAGTACTTCCCTCCTTTGCACACTGCCATTGCCATCCTTGCTCCCAAAATGATGTTTGGCACATTTGGAAGTTTAGGTAGAAAAGTTTGCGATTCCCCAGGTCTGGTATCTTCGGCTGTTTTGTGATGTTTGTAATAACGCAATGTTTCTGAGGCAGCGGATACTGTGCTTTTCACATTATAACTGTCTTCTATAACTCACATTAACAAGACTTCCCAGGGTCCATGATATGGCTTTGTCCTATGATATAGCTAGATGGTCCAGTTTTTTTTTTAGTATAGGTCCATCATGCTGCCTCACACTTGGCAGTCTGATAAGAGAGAGTGCTATTAACGATGAACTTCTGGTATTCACTGTGAAAGAAATTGTAAGCCTTTGGACTTCGCATTACTGATGATACAACTAAGAAAGTGCATACTGGGGCACCTGGGTGGCTCAGTCGGTTAAGCATCCGACTTCAGCTCAGGTCATGTTCTCAAGGTTTGTGAGTTTGAGCCCCGAGTCGGGCTCTGTGCTGACAGCTCGGAGCCTGGAGTCTGCTTTGGATTCTGTGTCTCCCTCTCTCTCTGCCCCTCCCCTGCTCATGCTCTGTCTCTCTCTGTCAAAAAATAAATAATGGTAAAAAAAAAAAAAAGATGAAAAAAAAAAGTGCATACCATGCTTTTCGTGGTTGGAAACAACACAAACATTGGAATAGTCAAGATCCATCTCCTACCTCAATTGGTCATCAGTAGTAGCTGACATAACATCAGTGACTGTTGTCATAAAGTCATATTATATACTGAGTGTATGAAGAGACACCACTAATCCATGACTATCAAGAACTTGGTGCTGTAATTAGTACCACAAAATATGCAAGGAAAGAAGGATTCCTGCTATTGTTGTTATTTGATACTCTAAGTATTTGGTGAAGGAATGCAATCTAACAACAACAAAAAGTTTAAAGGTCCCTTTAATTCTTCTCTGCATGAAGAAAAACAACACTTTCTCTTTAAAAGTCTGTTTTCCCACCCAGACAATATTTAAATTTTGTTCTCATTTTGACAGCATACAACAATACCAGAATTTGGGTTGTTTTAAAAATAGAAGTTCCTAGAGATAAACTCTGTTTTCCACTAGAGAATATTGTTATTTATTGTATCTTCCCAAAGAATTTTAAGAATCACTTTAATATTCTTTTTAGGTTCAGATGCTAAAGTAGGAATTGGAATATTTAAAATGAACTAGAATTCACATGCATCTAAATGGATGGATTTAAAACTGTGGTGTCCCAGTTGGCTATTTTTCATGCTGTAGGGGAGAAATGTGGGGGCCACAGGAATCCCAGCTGCTTATGCTGCTAATTGCCTGTAAGACACTGAGCCTGTCACTCCACCTGAAGTGTCTTAGCTGTTAACCAAGGAAGTTGAACCAAATGGTCTTCTAAGTGGCTTTCCATCTCTGCTAATGCTTAAGTCTACTATTGACATGTACAATGGCCTTCTTCACAGGATTAAAAATGGACAGTTGAGGGGCACCTGGGTGACTCAGTTAAGTGTCCGACTCTTGATGTCCACTCAGGTCATGATTTCATGGATTATGAGTTTGAGCCCCACATCAGGCTCTGTGCTGATGGTGTGGAGCCTCTTTGGGATTTTCTCTCTCCCTCTCTCTCTTTCCCTTCCCTGCTTGTGCACCCTCTCTCAAAAAATTTATAAACTTTAAAAAGTGGACAGTATGTAGTCTGAATATCTACCTCAAAGCTGATTCTAAGACATACCAAACCATACTGGAATTATAAACCTGTTTTGTCAATGATTTATTCAATAAATAAAATCACTTTCCTTGCATTTCCCATCTTTTTCTTTTCCTCATGTTATTATTTTTATTTTTTGCTTAGAAGTGGTATAGGATTAGAATCCTACCTTTACCACCAACTTACTAGCTGTGTGATTTGGGTAATTTACTTAGCATTTCTGAGCTCATTTATCTCATCTGCACAATAGAACTTACTGTATTTAATTTAAAAGAGCTGTAAAGAGACTTATAAGTAATGGCACATGAAAAATGCCAAGCTCAGAACATGGCACATAGTGGTTCTCCATAAATGTTTCTTACTTTACTATCTAGGTCTGAGCCATGTCATCCATACAAGTCTACATTGAACCTGAGACTCTTGTCTCCATTTGTTAACAGCAATGTATCACCCAAAATATAGAACAATCAGTGATAAAGCTAATTACATTCTAGATAATATGCTTACTCTGTTAGATGGTATTAATTCACCAAATATTAACTGAGTGCTGGTTTTATTTATATATAAATCTATATTATAAGTTTATAAATGTATATTTACATATATTATGTATATATTGTATATATATATATTATATACACACATACATACACACAGTAGATCCTTGAACAACACAGCTTTGAACACAGATCTACTTACACTTGGATTTTTAAAATAAATACAGTACAGTACTATAAATGTATTTTCTCTTATGATTCCCTTAATAACATTTTCTTCTCTCTAGCTTACCTTATTGTAAGAATACAGTATGTGAATCATATAACATACAATATATGTATTAATTGACTGCTCATGTTATCAGGTTATGGCCAATAGTAGGCTACTAGTAAAGTTCTGGGGGAGTCAATAGTTACATGCAGATTTTTGACTGAGTGAGAGGTCAGGGTTCCTAACCCCCATGTTGTTCAAAGGTCAACTCTATATACAGACACACACACACACACACACACACACACACACACACACACTAGATTGCTACAGACATGTCTTCAAATTTTCATGTGTGTCTGAGAAAGAGATTTAGATACTTTAAAAAAAATTCTTTAGGGGTGCCTGGGTGGCGCAGTTGGTTAAGCATCCGACTTCAGCCAGGTCACGATCTCGCGGTCCGTGAGTTTGAGCCCCGCATCAGGCTTTGGGCTGATGGCTCAGAGCCTGGAGCCTGTTTCCGATTCTGTGTCTCCCTCTCTCTCTGCTCCTCCCCCGTTCATGCTCTGTCTCTCTCTGTCCCAAAAATAAATAAACGTTGAAAAAAAAATTAAAAAAAAAAAATAAATAAAAAATAAAAAAAATTCTTTAATGTTTATTCTTGAGAGAGAGAGAGAGAGCATGAGCAGGGGAGGGGCAGAAAGAGAGGGAGAGACAGAATCCAAAGCAGGCTGTAGGCTCCAAGCTGTCAGCACAGAGCCTGACACGGGGCTCAAACCCATGAACCTCAAGATAATGACCTTCACCGAAGTTGGACGCTTAACCAACTGAGCCACCCAGGCGCCCCTAAGATTTAAATATAACCCTAATCATACTGTGTACCAAGTGCCAACACCATTCTGAAGCATTTTGCATATTTTAATTTCTTTAATCCTCATATTATGAGGTTGATATTATCATTTTCATTCAAAACTATATCTCAAATGAGGAAATTGAGGCACAAAGAGATTGAGTAATTTATTCAAGATCAAGTATGGAGCCTACATTTGAATGCAGAGAGTAGCTCCCGAGTTCATGTTCCTTGTCACTCGGCCATATATGCAAATAGCCCTGTAAAAATCATTTTAAAGATTCAGTAGCACCAAGGAGTTTCTTTTCTTTCAGCAAGTCTAAACAGCATTTCTAGGAGAGGAAGGAGAGACAACTGTTGTCAACCCCACTACACTGCTGAAATCTGGCTGAGATTGGATGGTACATGAGGCTTTGATATATACTTCCTGCAACCCACGATGCAGGGCCAGGTAGGGGAGAAAGCAGCCAGGTGGGGTTAGAGCCTAGAGGGCTGGACACACACCATTTTCTGTCTCCACACTCTAGCCAAGGCCAAGGCCAAGGAAGTCTTTTTTTTTTAACTTAGTTTTCTGCCCTCATAAATACAAAATATACTCTAAAGAAGAGCCTCTACTAGTAAAAGTGACTTTTGGTTCAGCAGGAAAAACAAACAAAAATCAACAGAAAAGAAACCCAGAGTGGGTGTCAGAAGGA